ATCTACTTGCATTTACATGCTTTTGAACCACTAGGTTGGCGGGAGCTGGGACAAGCGATGGGCGCTCACTCCGTCACGTGGATTCGATCTTACGACTGCTTGGTCTTCTGACCCTGCAGCACAGGCCTCTGCGGTTTAGCCCGCAGCGCCACCTTGTTCCCAAAACAATTATTAAAATTTAGATTGTTAATTTTAGATTAACGATATGCTCAGATACATTTAGATTGATATTTAATCTGGCTTTCAATTAATCACCTGTATTTTTGCATGGCTACCTGGATAGATCAGTGGTTTAGGTGCCTGGCTGCATAGCCAAAGGTTGGGAATTTGATTCCCCACTGTGCCTCCTGTAAGTAGAGCCAGCCTTTGTGGCCTTGGGTAAACTGCACATTCCTAGCCTCCCCACCAGAAAAAGGGAACAGTAAACCACGTCTACCTAGAAAACTCTGCAAAGGGCTACCAGAAGTCATAATTGACCTGATGGCACATTATTATTATAGTTATTGCACACCTTGTTCATTTTCTGTACAATTGATTGATTTGTACTATGCAGAATCCAACTTACTTTTTAAAACTATTAGAATTCTGTGAGTAAAAAACTACTTAGGAAAAGGTGCACATTCTTCTTCAGAAAATATATATCCTGATCCTAAAGGTTGCAAGCTTGCTCTGTGTTCGCTTGTGCCTTTATCTGATGTACCTGCCACTGCCTCTGTAGTGCTACCTGCACCAATCCTGATAAGCCCCCTGCCTTTACACTTGATGTGGCTTTGTGTTTATCTGCATATCATGTCAGTGGTGACTCAAGGGCAAGGATTTATTTGCATGTAAACATGCAGAGTAGACAAACCACACGATAGAAACCTTTTCGAAATGACTGATGAAAAATAAACTGAAACTCAATGTGGAAAATATGGCTAATTGGGAAACTCTATGTTCTGGGTAATGACATCAAGTCAGCCCTATATGTGATTCTGTTGCTGTATAAGATCATAGGCACAGTGTCGGGATTCTCTTGGATTTGATGGTATCTAACAGAGCTCAGCTGATAATAAGCAGATAATAAGAAATCTCTTTACTCGGCTAATGATGGTACACCAGTCAAAGCCCTAGTTAGAATTGAGTTCTGTTGGACCAAGGCAGAATAACTCCCTCCCTAGTTATGTCTAAAACTGGATTATTGTATAAGATCATAGGCACAGTGTAGGAATTCTCTTGGATTTGATGGTATCTAACAGAGCTCAGCTGATAATAAGCAGATAATAAGAAATCTCTTTACTCGGCTAATGATGGTACACCAGTCAAAGCCCTAGTTAGAATTGAGTTCTGTTGGACCAAGGCAGAATAACTCCCTCCCTAGTTATGTCTAAAACTGGATTATTATATCATCCTTTATGTTGGGCTGACTTTGAAGTGAGCTGCAAAACTTCAGTTGGTGCAAAATTTGTCTCAGATACCGATGGAAGCCAGGAAATCAGAATAGAGGATGCCTTTTTGTGCCAGCTATCTTGGTTAACAGAGCTTGGAAAAATTACTTTTTAAAACTATAACTCCCAAAATCCCACAGCCTGCATGGCCAGTTGGCAGCTTCTAGGACTTCCCATCCCAAAAAGCAAGGTCAGAGCTTAAAAGTTTTGTTTGTGGGTTGAAGTTGGAAGTGTTTGGTGAGCAGTTTGCCTGAGTACTTGCATGTAACTGAGTACTTCTCCAAAAATAATGTGCATACCCCATAGAATATCCTTCCAGTACAACATTCATTCACTTAAATATACTTTCAGATATTGATGAATGCAGCATCAGCAACGGGAGCTGTGACTATGGTTGCCTTAATACAATGGGAACCTATGAATGTTTGTGTCCACCTGGAAAGAAGTTACATTGGAATAAAAAAGACTGTGTTGGTAAGTAAAATTTCAGAACAGACACCTTTCTTTTGCATTTCTTGCAGTGAAAGACAATTAATAAATAGACTATATATGCAAAAGAATATTTTTGTTTTCAAGCATATCATTGGCCATTGCAGAAGTAACACATTCCACTCCCCAAGCAATGATTAGAAGATGGGGGGCACCCTAAAGATATCCACACTTCTTTCCTTCTCTCCTATTCCCACAACTTGCCCTTCCTCTTACATTTTAAGGTTCAGCCAGGCTACAGCATTATGTCTGCATCAGTATTTTCACTAACCATGGTTAACACTATCATCAGTATTCAAAATCACTTCTGACTTTGATTGTGAGGTGTTATTTAGGGCTAACCCAGTTATACTTGATGCTGCATTATATGTAAGGAGATTTTACATCTAGAAGGGTAGAAACAGAATCTCCATAACAATCCTGGTTAAGAAATGTTACCCCAGTTCCCAGATCAGTATAACAAGCATGTTTGGTTTACTGTGACTAAAGCTGGTTTTAGAGCTGGCACACACTCCACAAACCAAACAAAAATGGAATACTCGGGTTGTAAAAATTATATGGGTTTAAGTTGAATTCTACCCCAACTATAAGGTTTACAAACTTATCATAACATTTTAAAAATGAATTTGCAATTATTTTCTCTTTTACATTTTCCAGAGTAGAGTTAGTGATGATGCTTAGGTAACAAAATCTTAGCTAGAATTTTTAAATTTATGTATTGGTTATTTTATTAGATAGATAGTTTTATTGTGCTGTCATAGACCTGTTCATACAAAGATAGAATAGATAAAATAAATACATAACATATTATAAAATCTCGCTACAGCGTTCTGTGAGTTCTCATAGCTGAAAATAAAAACTTAGCCACTAACTATCTGATTCTCTCTAGACAACAGAAATTTCAGATAGCTTGTGGGACAAAACCAAAATAATGGTCTTCTCTAGACATAGTAAAACCAAAGATTGAGTTATTGAGGACCAAGAGATAAAACATGTTTAAAAAATTAAAATATCTGGGAAGCACCTTTTCACACTCCCCTCTCCTGGCCCTACCACAGACAAACAGTGGTACAGGTGGCCAATAACACAAGTAGACGATTTCACTATGCTCAGGGTGGGGAGTTGATTCCTGCAGCCCTAGAGATAGTCAAGCATAAAATCCTTGTGCAGCTGTTGTATGCTATCGCTGTTTGGATTAAGGATTTTAACCCCTCCATTGAAAGTGTTTTATCAAATACATAACAATCCTTATTTGCCATGCCAAGATGTGCCTCTTCAGCCTGTCTGTGGCTCAAAGCTGGTATGACCTCAGTAGAATGTCAAGCGTGGCTACACGCGTTTCGTTATTGGTTAAGGTGGTCTATGCCTCAGTAACCTGTGGCTACCTATATTATTTGCAGATTTCATTATTGGTTAAGGTGGTCTATGCCTCAATAACCTGTGGCTACCTATATTATTTGCAGAAATATGTCTTTGCCAGCTCACGGCATAAGGGATTTACAGAAAAATTACATTTCTTAGGCTTCTTTATGGATTTCCTACTGAGATAGCCTCAAGGTAGCATTAAACTTCTTTATGAATTTCCTACTGAGAAAGCCTCAAGGTAGCATTAAACTGAAACTTATTCAACATATTAAAGATATAGATCTTCAGTAATCTCTAGCCTGTGCAGACAGGGCTTGTTCACCACTCCGTTTTGGCCTAAATTTTAACTTCCCTAAGCCAGCTAACTACTTATCCCATATTACAGCACCGAGATATTGCTTTGCCTTTTCAAGGGCTAGGTTTAACTGCTTTCCCTCTGTTCAACAAACCTCTTTTAAAAGGGAATTTTAACAGCACCCCATATGGTGAAAGGATTTGTCTCTGTGGGAAAGAAATTACAGTATTGAAACCTTGGGGCACATCATTTTAGAATGTAGCCTACATAGGATTGAACGTATTCGATATCTTGGTTATTTTATTTTTGATATTCCTGTTTCCCCCATTTGTCAATCCTCTTAAGGTACTCCTGTTCCATCTCTGATGATAAGAATGGATAGTATGTTTTGAGGTTACATCAGCTACATAGATGTATGTGAAACTAATGCACATGGACTGTATTTAAAACTGGAATGTTTAAGAAATGCTTAGTCACTAGTTCTGAATTAGTGTCAAAACTGGTATCAAACTGTAGAGAGAGAAAATGCTGATGGAAGTAATTTAGATTTTTAATATTTCTTCATATCCTCTAATTTTATATTTCATTTGGGTAATTCAAAAGTGTGACTACTGGTGACACCTAGTGGTTAATATTCACAATATGTATAATATTCTAAAAGTAGGCAAAAAAAAAAACAACCCACAACATATCGAGCTAAATCTAATGATTGCCTGGAAGTTTCTGAACTTTCTTTTGTTTCAGAACTCAGAATATTCCCAGCCCATGGAAGAATCTCCTATATATAAAATAGCAAAACTTGCTTATTTTTTGCATTTTACATTATTTTCTAGCAGATTGATCATTATTTTCTGGTTATCTACATCTTGTCTTCATTTTAGAAAATTTCTCCCAAAAGTTTATAGTCATGGAAAAATTAAACAAATGTTCCAAAACAGACACTCAATGTTAGCTTGATCAGGTTATTTCCAAGCATAGCCACTCTTAGACTAGGGTAGGGTGCTTAGGCCCCTTCCCGGTGCCCACAGCACAACTGCTGCTAAGAACACGCAAGGAGCAGGCAGCCTGCCCAAAGTGCTATTCGTTAGTTCCATCAAGCAGGCCGACTGTCAGTGTTCATCTGTTCAGCAAACCTCCATTGTAAAAGGCCCCCTGACCACCTTGCTAAAATATACTCCTACTGTCAGAACCGTCTAGGAGTCACAAGTGGAACCACAGACCTCTCTGAGGACAGTTGCAAGACTACCTCCTAGTAAGTAGTTGAACTGACTATGAAGTTAGCTAAATTGAAAGAGAAAAGCTTTTAACCCAGTGGCCCCTGAACTGTCCCAGAATGCTCTGACTGGGTCTTTCAGTATGCACGTGGGAGAATCCCAGGGCTAGATCTCTGTCCACAGAGCGTTGGTTCTGCAAGTCTCCCAGGGAACTTTGAGACCAATGTGTCCTCTCTGTTGGCAGAGAGGCATCTCCACCTAATTGTAACCCACTGAGATGTTTAAGGTGCTGCCGTGCCTTCACTTGTACTTATTTTTCCAAGCGAACATAAATAAAACTCCTTGCCTTTGCCATTTCATAAACTCATCAACCAAATGAATGAAGTTTTAATGGGATACTTTGAAATTTTAAAAAATCAGTTAAGCGGTAATACCATTTTAATTGCAATGCAACTCATAAGCAATAAATTCAGGCTTTCTCGTTTCTCCAGAACTGCTGCATACTCTTTGGGCAATAGTTCATATTCCCTTATAATTCCTTTGAAACTCACATAAAGATTAGAAACATAACTAGTGTCTAGTCTCATGGACTAGGCCTTCAGTTTCTGTCATGGACTGTATCTTGGATTTCTTATGGATCCAGGTATCCAAACTGAAGGACTAGGGTCACCCAGGCTTATCTTTGCCTTCAAGAGTGGGCTTGGCTTGCAGACTTGTTCTTCTCACATAAGAGGAACTTTATTGGACTAAATTACCGTATTTTCCGTGTATAAGACTATACTTTTGTCTAAATCTTTAGACTAAAAAATGAGGGTCATCTTATACGTGGAAGTAGGCTGAGGAGAGAACAAACACAAGTGGAGGGGAAAGCAGGGATCAAACCAATCCTGCAGGACTGTGATCCCTGCTTTCCTCTCCATTTGCTAAGCCGTAGCAAAAGGAAAGTAGGGATCAAAGTGCTGCAGGATGGCTTTGATCTCTGCTTTCCCCTCTGCTTACAAAGTCCCATGGGGCTTAGCAAAAGGAGGGAAAGGATCAGAGCAATCCTATGGCTGTATAAGGGGGAAAAAGATCAAAACGATCATGCAATAGCAGGATTGCTTTGATCCCTTTTCCCCTCCTTTTGCTAAGCCCAGCGGGGCTTAGCATGAAGGGAGAAAGCAGGGATCAAAGCAATCCTGCAATGCTTTGATCCCTTTCCCTCTACACTTGCTAAGCCCCACTTAGATTTCTTTATTTTGGGTTAGAAAAGTGGGGGGGTGTCTTATACATGGGGGCATCTTATACATGGAAAAATATGTTAACTGGATGTTTCTTCAGTTAATTGAACAAGTGATTTCCTGCTGCTTCTTCCTCAGAGATGGTGAAATGCCTCCCAAATGCCAAGCCGGCTCCAAAAGCTCAGCTGGTTTGCAGCAAATCAGGTGGAATTGAGAGCTGTTTCTTATCTTGTCCATCCAACACACTTTTTATCCCAGGTTGGTATCAACAGTATTTCTCTAAGTAATAAAATAATGTAAGTTCCTTTTGAAGATTTTATTCATATTTCACTATATCCCAAAGCTTATTTAAGATTAATATTAGTATAAATTTGCAATAGGTCAGGCTGACGAAAGGTATTTCTAGATTATTGTTCTTTGCTTGTGACTCAGCTGTTGCATTCTACTGAGGGGAAGATAGCTTTTGCTGTTGTTATTGTATTAATTAATGAGTTACTAGGTAAACCTGCAAGATTCTCCTCAAATTCTGACAAAATCTCTAGGTAATATACATCTTCTGGCGGACAGTGTAATAAATAAGTGAAAGGAATAAATAGAGAAGCCTTGCTGAGGGAAAGAAAAGAAAACCAATTATCTTATCATATTTGTTGTTGTTTTCTCTGCTCAGACTCAGAGAACAGTTATTCAGTAAGCTGTGGAGTGCCGGTACTTCAAGGCAAATCACAACAGAAGCGTAATGCTACACTTCCCAGTTGTGCAGGTGAGTGTTTGATGATCTCCCAAGTATCCATTATCCCTGCTGCATTAGTCTAGGGTAAATAACTCCACAGGAAGGATACGTGGCTGTTGACTTCACAGCTCATTGAAGCTACCAGGACTTCTCATCTGCCCTCCCTAAAATCACACAAATCCTGAGGAGAGGTTTACGACCTATCAGATTCTTCTTCGTGGCTTCTGTGAATGCATACAGCTGGGTTCAGTTTGTGCCTCCTCGGAATATTCTAGACCTTTTAAAAAGCAAGATTAGTTGTGTTGCATGCTCTGCCCGCCTCAACCCTCAGGCTGGGTTCAATTTGTGCCTCCTCGGAATAATCCAAACCTTTTAAAAAGCAAGATTAGTTGCGAGTTGCATGCTCTGCCCGCCTCAACCCTCAGTTCCATTTTACCACCTTGGTGTTAAGAACTTCTCTCACTAGAGCTATCATTTTCTGCTAAAATTAAGTTTAGACACAGACTGCCTTGACTTCGACTTGCCTGATCCCTTTACTATCGTTGCCCTTCATGCATCAACCTTGGATTTTGAACTTTCTACTCTGATTTATTGGATATTGCGACCCGGACTGACTCTCATTTCCTGCTCCTCTAACAAACTGGACTTGTATTCTCTTTCGACCTTTGGACTGCTTCTGGTCCATTGACACTGACATAAGTCCATTGGCATAAATTTCAAAGGCAAATTGTCAGTAGTGAAGTTTGGGGTTGCATTTCTTGTCACACTCCCAAGTCACATGACTGCGATGGAACTTGTTAACTGCCAGTAATCTGCTGCTGAGATTTGTGCTGGTGGACTTATTCAGGAGGGCATAAGTAATAAGGTGGATAGTGGGTGGATATTGTTATACTTTTTGTCAGAATAAGCTATTTTATTAAAAGTGCAGATGTATAGATATTTATCTATCTGCCACTTTTGTATGTGTCCATTCACAATTCCTGCATCCAATGCAATCTAGTACTTTCTCTTCATGCCTTCCCCATTTTTCATACAATGACCAAAATCCATCTGAACACCTATATCTTCTTAAATGCAGTGGAATAACTCTGAGCAGTGAATAGTTGCTAATTAACAAGTTCCCCAACTTAATCCCTATCCCTGAGCCAGACTCGGTGCACAACTAGAAACTGAATCAGAGACTCTTCAGTTAGTGTCTTTCAGCTGCTCAGAGTTATGCTACTACATTTAGACAGGAATAAAAATGTTCATTTGCATTTTGGTCAATAATTCATGTAGAAAATTAGCCTGGTCATACAGAAACCAACCCTATTCAACCCTATAAAACTTGGAAAAACCAGTACTATGAAGTTATGAAAGTTATATTTCCTTTTACATCCCCTGCCCCCCACATGCCTTCCCTGCCTTTAAAAATACAACACAAATTATAATTTCCAATTTCCTTTCTTTAGATATTCTAGCACCACCTATCAAACAGAAGGCTCGTTTTAAAATCAAGGATGCAAAGTGTCACTTGAGACCTCGTAGCAAAGAAAAAATTAAGGATGTTGGAAAACAGCAGGCTGTTATAGGTATGGAGCAAGGGGTGGAAAAGGCTTGCAATGGGGCAGAGGAGCATCCATGGATTAACACTTTTTCTGGCTGAGCTTGGAACCAGATTCTCAGTGTAATGTGATCTCAGTTTCCATTTAACTATCCTGAAAATCAGTTTGTTTTTATTATGTTATTTCCCTAACAGTCAGTTCTGCTGTTTTTATTGTAATCTGTGGTTTACTAAAGCAATTGTATGTGAGAAATATTTTACTGAAAGTCCTTTCTAAATCAAGGACTTTCCCCACTGTGGTAAGCTCTTAAAACATGGTCTCATACTATTCAGTAATGTCCCCACATCACAGGAGGACCTGGGGGTTTACTGTAGTCCCAAGGAATAGCTTTCCTGTGACTGGATGAGCCTTTTTTTAATGATTTAAAGGAGGTTTTTCCTGAAACACAAGTAGAGGGGGTGAGGTTAGCCAATGGCAATTTAAGATTGGTGGGCATTCAAAATGTCACAAGCCAGTGACAGAGGACCAGTCATTATGTCACAGGGACCTTCTTGTGACATAGGCCAGTGGCAAAGGACCAGTCAAGGGCCATCATTATTATGTCACAGGGACCTTCTTGTGACATAAAAATAAGAAGAATTGAGGAGACAGTTGAAGATTCATGTATCCTCTATATATATTTCCTAATGAAGGTCAAACATATGTATGAAGTTTAAATATCTAGTGCACTGGCAGGTGCTGCTTGACGGCACTGGTAAAACAAATAATGACATTGTGGAAAAAGATCGGCTGTCTGAATGGTGTGATCATTGGAAGGAAGCTCAGCTATTTCTCATCATCTCTCCTGTTGAGGTGGACCATTGAGCCTCACCCTAAAGCAGACCTGAGGACTGAGACAAGAGGTGGGCAGCTAGCAATGAAAATGAGTACCTGACAGGTGGAGAGCGGACTGACAAAAAGAGTACAGGAAAGAAAGGAGTCCCTGGACAAAGGAAGGATTTTTTAAGACCATGGACAGCTCCAGAAAGGCCAGCTGACAACTTCCTCCAGTGAGCTGCAGAACTTGACTGAGACACTAGGCCACAGAATGGGATTTGTTGACTGTTCCAGGCGCCACTTTTTGGTGAAACATGACTGGGCTTAAAGAGGCCTTCCTCTAGTCTCGATTCTGATGTGCAGTTCTCTAAAGGTTTGTAGGACAATGACCTGTTGGGGGAAGAGCCAGAAATTGTCCTGTTATCGAGGACAGACCACTATCTAATCAAATTTGACCTCTTAGCAATTTCAGAGGTGTTTGAAAAAGAACAGTGGTCGATCATGGAGAGCGATGCAGCTTAAAGATTTCTGAAGTTTCTTGGGAAATGGCCTTCCAATTTAAAAGGCAAAAAGTCCTAACGAAGTCCTGGTCTTTGCCTGGAGAGATGACTCAAGTCATCAATACAGTCATTCTCAATCCTCCTCATACTGAGGCTTTGGTATGCTAATGAAATGAGGACTATGGAGGGAAAAGATTGACAGAATACAGATGGCAAAAACATGTGATGAGTGTGATCAAAACATGGGCGAAACCACCTTTAGGTATATGGTGCTGCAATTGTAGCAAAGAAATCTTATTTCTCCAGCACTGCTGTGCTTCTACAGTGAGAGCCAGCAGAATTCTTTTGAGTAATGAAAAGTAAGATTGGGAGATTTGATGCAAAGCTCAGTGGCTCGTTGTGAACAATTTGTACATATTTTGCAGACAGGATGGCTCATGTTCATTCGAACGTGCCATTGTTCTGGTAGGATCAGAGATGGATGTGATCTTATCCACTCAGGTTCTTCTAAATAGGTTCCAACTTGAGCAGGTTGACAGTGTGCACAAGTTACTCAGAACTTTGAAATCCACAACCTGCTCTTTGGGCCTGATTGCTTCCTAAGTATTAAAATGTGCCACAATAAGTCCTATTACCATCTGAGCTTCAGAGGTGATTGGTGCTTCTCTGAGGGAGGGTATGATTACAACTAGACTTAAGGAAGAAGTGGTCAACCCCCCCCTTAAGTATAATAGTAGAGAAAGTAGTGGCTTCTCACCTCCAGCTGATTTCAGTTGGTACTGATTGCTTAAGTCTTTAGTTCCAAGTCTGATTTAGGGAAAGACATGTTGGTTGACATGGTGGCCAACTTAAAATGGGGAACAGACAAATGCAACCTTCTCAGTTTTCTTGAACCTCTCAGTGGCCTCAGAGGAATGTGGGAGATGTAGTCCAAAAAGTATTTTTCCTAACTCTGGTGAAACAAACACCCAAGAAGCCTTGGTTCTGTTGGGTTGTGTAATTACAGAAAGACAGTTGTGTAAGTGGTGCTAGATATTTTGCTGTCTATGTGTCACTTATCTGCTAGATCCCTGTTTGTGCAATAATCACATGGCCAGGCATAGAACAGACAGCAAAACAGGGCACATGAGGCTAATCCTCTTGTCCACTTGCATTTATTGCCATTCTTTATGCATTGAAATCCAACAGGAGTTTTGCCAGAATAGTTTGGAAAAGCACTAGCTGTAGTTTTTAACAGCATTATGATTTTATGTTGTCAACATTACAGTGGTGCCTCGCATAGCGATCGTTCCTTTGAGCGACGAAATCGCTTAGCGACGGAGTTTTTGCGATCGTAAAAGCGATCGCTTTGCGATGGTCCCTACGGGTTTTTTTCGCTTTGCGATGATTGCAGGGAAGTGATCATGGCAAAGTGACCGTTTTTTAACAGCTGACTGGCGGTTTCAAAATGGCCGCTGGGAAAACCAAATGGCCACCCACTGTTTTTCCTCGCTTAAGAGGCAACGAAAATGGCAGCACTATGGAGGATTTTCGCTTAAAGGTGAGGTTTTAAGCTCATAGGAACGCATTAATCGCGTTTTAATGCATTTCTATGGGCTTTTTAATTTCGCTTAGCGATGTTTTCGCTTAGCAATGTTTTTTCCGGAATGGATTAACGTCGCTAAGCGAGGCACCACTGTACTGTCTTAATGAGAGTTATTGCTAACAGCATTATAAATTGTTCTGTAGCCTTATGAAAATAAAGACTCTAAGTAACCACTTGAATATTTTACATGTGATGGAGGATAGTGATTTGGTGAATATTTTACGTGTGATGGAGAATAGAGATTCTACCTCATGTCCATGATCAGCATGTCCTTGATTAGAATTAGCCAAAGCTTTCTTAAGGTCATAAATTGGATGTAGATAAGCTGGACTATTAGATAACCAAGGTTTTTATTATTAAGATTCTACTTACGCCAGTATTTCTGCTCTGTAACATCTCAATAACCCTTACTCACAAGAAATAAATGTTTCATGGAGTTGTCTTCCTGCAGCCGTACCTACCATATCAGTAACAACACAACTGACACAACAGCAACAATGTTACTTTGCACCTTGATTTCTTTTCCATGTCGCTTCTGTTATACAAAGGTCAATTCCCTTGTACAGACAACTGCCAGGTAACCTTTGTGAACTTCAAATGTGACTCCTCCAAGAAAAAGCGTCGTGGCCGTAAGTCACCGTCAAAAGAAGTATCCCACATCACGGCTGAGTTTGAAATGGAGATGAAATCTGAGGAGGTCTCAGGTTTGTGAAAGTCATATTTTACTGTTCCTTTTTGCAAACATTGACATTTGGCTGAAATGCAATAGTTAAGTCCCAATTAGCATACGTCTATTGAATAAATCGAACTTGCAGGGAATACTCCATTGCTGCTGATCAAAGCCAGCCCTATCATTAGACAGGAAGGTAGCTGCTTTAGTCAACAGATAATCAGTGTTGCAACAGAATAGTGAATTGTTAGTTACTTAACTTTTAATCACAGTCTTTTATTTCTGAGGGAGAAAAGAAGTTCTGTGGAATTTTCTGCCCCATGTACCAAAATAACTTATCTGGCTTTGGTATTATGTTCCTTGACTTGAGTGGCAGAGGGAGGTTCCATTTGCTGTTTTGTCTCAGGTAGCAAAATCTCATGGGGTGGCCTGTCTTTGCTGAAGCACACAATGAAAAATGCCCAACCATTCTTGAATAGGGTTACGACTCAACACCTTCCAATTTCCTGAGATTTCAGTCCCCAGACTGGAGACCAGGATGCAAGACCCTTATGATGTCACCAGCCCTTGCATAAGAATTGCAAAATGATGTCTTTGTGCATATGTGTATTAATGAGAGAATGAGATAGACAATTGAGATTTTCCTAAAAATAAATGTGTGCAACACACACGCACGCATCTTCCTGCTGACCTAAGGAGTCCTGGTAGCACTTTGAAGCAAGGAAGAGCTTTGGCTGTAACTCCAAGGGTTAAAGACGCACAACGAAACGAGGATTCCTCCTGCTTTTACTTCAGTTCTCCTCAGATTTCTCTTTCCACCTGGTGGCCTGGGGAACCTGTAACAGTTTCCTGAGATGTCAGCTTGGGACCCTATTATTGTAGTATGATGGGAATCATGCATGCTCCAAGCCCTGTCTTTTATTTATTTCATGTCTTCATTTCTATCAGGTCATGCCAGAGTGCCTCTGCAACTAGCAGAGATAGTGAGGTGACTTTCTGGGACTATCTCTCACAGCATCTCCCAGCCAGTATGACCAGTATCTATTTTGGCTGGACAGTCTGGGAGTTGTAGCGGAAGAAATGAGCTTTGCTAAATTCTGCAAACAGAGTAGGACAATGCTAAAAAAGTCCATTTTGAATCAGAATCACAACTCTCCTCCCCCCCTTCTAATGTCTCCACTCAGATGCCTGTAACGTTGACTGCTTGCGGAAAAGGATGGAGCAGAAACTACAAACTGCAATCAAGACTTTACGGAAATCTATTAACAAACAGCAGTTTTACATTCAGTTTTCTGGGACAGAATACGAAGTGGCTCAAAAGGCAGCGAAAGTTGTCACTGAAGGCCATCATCTCTGTAGCACAGGGCAAGTGCAGCAGGATGGAAAGTGCGGTAAGGTCTAAACAAATGCTTCATAACACAAGCCCATCCTGTTTTCTTCCTCTAGCAGCCACTGATTATTTCCATAGTCGTTCAGTCCACAGGCTTCTCCATAGTAGTTCAGTCCACATATCACATAGATCTGCTGTGATGCACTATTTGGAGACTTCCTGAGACTAAAATCCAGACAAGATATTGTGGCAGCACAAAACAGGATGTTAGGTGTGGAATTCATAATTTAAAAGATGGTGTTGAGGATCAAAGTTTTTGTGAGTTTTAGCTTTCATTTTCAAAAATAAATCAATTGGCAGCCTTCAGAGTTACAAAGTTCAGCAAAGTCTGCAGAAATCTCAAAATTTAGATGGCTCCTGGAATCTGATTTCCAGTGCTTGGCTGCAGCACTCGTAGGCCTTGCATAGATTCTTGCTTTGCCTAATGCCCAACAAAGCCAGAAGAAATTATTGGGGGTTCACCATTTCTTGACAATATGTTGCAGAACCTACGTAGAATGGATTCTGACTTTTATTATTATTATTTTAGTATAGCATGCACACATTCTTGTTATAGTAACAGCCCTGTTATAAGTTTTTAAAAAGTGATGTTCCAACATATCCTTTTAACAGGCACACTAGAGCAGCTGGAGAATTGGCTCACCCTTTACTAGTCTAACTAGGATGGGCTTCTTCATCTATTGTTGTGGTATTTTCATATTGTCACCTATGTGTGTCATGTCTCAATGTGGTTTCAGTTCTGAAGAGCAGGTAAGCTATGAGAGCTGCAGGACAGGAGAGTAGAAAAGAGATCATGTTAGCATGTTCTCTAGACCAGTAACCAGAAGTGATGAAGAGACTTCTAATTTTTTGCTACAGAGCAAATTGTAAAGACAATATAGTAGGACTGCAGTATCTGTGGGGCATCGGTCCCAAGCCCCTCTGCTGCTGCCAAAAAATGGAGGTATAGAACACTACACATTGTGTGACCTTTGGCTCCCTCTAGTGGCCAGTTCTG